CACATTTTAAAAAATGGTCCGATAATTAGACAACACTAATGTCCTGACTAGTCTTCTGTCAACCTGACACAAGTTAGGGTCATCTGAGAAGAGGGAACCTCAACTGAGAAAATGCTCCCTGAGACTGCCTTATGGGGATTTCTTTGATTAATGATTGATGAGCGAGGGCCCAGCCCATTGTGAGCTGGGTCACCACTGAGCAAGTGTCCCTGTGGGGCTTCTGCTTCAGTTCCTGCCTTGAGCTCCTAGCTTGATTTCCCTCAGTAATAAACTGTGATCTATGTGTAAAGCTGTGGAAAGCCCTTTCCTTCCCAGGCTGCTTTTGGCCATGGTATTTTATCACAGCAATAGAGACCCTAAGGCAGCTAAGAAGTAACAAGAGTCTGTAGGGCATGGCAGTATGCCCTATAGTTGCAGCTAAGGAGAGGAGGGGAGATTTTGTGAGCTCAGTAGTGAAAGATTAGCCCGAGAAACACAGATGTCTCCATCTCAGAGATAAAGAGAAAAATAAAAACCATCAGCAAGACTATGTATTTCTTGAACCAGATGTGGTGGCACAGACATGTAATCCTAGCACTCAGGAGGCAAGAGGACGACCACAAGTTCACAGCCACCCTGGCCTTCACAGGGAATTCCAGGCCAGCCAGGGTAACACAGTGAGAAGGGAGGGTGGGAGGAAGGGAGAGAGGCGAAGAGCAGAGCGCTGATGCATACGTCCTGAGAGCATGTCCGTGAAGAGCTTCTGGAATGGAACCTACTGAGTAGGCAGAAGATAAACTGACAGCTGAAAGTTCCAACCAAGTTAACGGGGTGTGCTTGCTGAGAACGATGATCTCTTTGGTAAGACAGGGCCAATTCAACTGTAACACTAATTTAAGCTGCTTGTTTGTACTGCCTGGAACTGCACAAAGGAAAAGATACTATAGTGGTCCAACTGTTGAAGGGTTTTAGTGTCTCATAAATGATAACAAATTCAAACAAGATGCTCTGCAGCTTCCTAATTGGCCAACACCTGCTCCACTATCTCAACAGCAACACTGACCCTTTCTTGAGAACATATAGAACTTACATATGCAGTAAATTTGTCTCAAAGGGGAATGGTACATGAAGATTATACAGGCATTCAGGGTTCCTTCAGGAAAAGAATACATATTAAGAAATAAAAAGACCTGCTGTAAATCAACAAATCGAGGCTAAACAGAACTACATGTAAGTGAGAACAATGGATCAGTGGGGAGAAGTGCTTGTGCAAACCTGACCTCCACAAAGAAGCCATGACATACACAGACAATAATAATAAAGTGCTGTTGTGTGGGACACATGAACTCATAGTGTATGTGACAGTATGTGAAGACCTGGACAAGTTCAAGACAACCCACATGACTGACAAGGGGTCTGAAAAAGTCTCGCCCTCCCTGGTGAGGAAGCAGCAGATTTTAAGGAGATGCAGCCCCTGAAAAGCTACCTCAGTTCTAGTATGGTGATTTTTCAACATGCAGGCTGGGACCCCTTGGCTGTGCAAGTGACCCTTTCACAGGGGTCGCCTAAGACCATCAGAAAACACAGATATTTACATTATGATTCATAACAGTAGCAAAACTATACTTATGAAGTAGCAACAAAATACTTTTATGTGGGGTCACCACAACACGAGGGTTATGTGTTACAGGGTCTGAGTATCAGAAGGCTGAACACCACGGCTCTGGTGGGCGGCCCTACACTCTGCACACCCTGCAGCACTATGTGGACGTAGTGGATTGAAAATCGCAAGGCGGCAGAGAGAGCACAAGAAGCTGGGAGAAGGTGAGGAGCACGGGAATAGCTGGAGGGAAGGGGGGGGAGTGGATTTGAACAAAGCACATTATGTGCATGTGTGACATCTTAAAAAACACCACAAAGAGAAAAGACACGTGCACGACCGTGCCGTGTATTAACAGCAGTGTGGAAAACTGCACCACTCCTTACGGCCTCACCCTATGACGTTCCATTCATGTCACTTGCTAGTTCAGAACTAAGTTTCAAAAATCTTAAGTCTGTAACTCTGTGCTATGTGTTTTGGCCTGTGCTGTTGTTTGTCATTTATTCTTTTGAGGTGCGGTTGGGGCTCGGACTCAAACCCTAGCACATACAGCAGCTAGGGGCTCTAACACTGAACTACATTCCCAGTTTATAATTCACTCTTAAATAATTTCATAAATTGCCTTTGCTTTTAATGTTTTAAATGTTCATATAAGTGTTTCATTTCTTCATATTATTTTCTTCTTTTCTATTTTGAGACAGAATCTCATCCTACAGCCCAGGCTTTCCCCAAACACGCACATCTTCCTGCCTTAGCCTTGTAAACGTGGGGACTACAGGCACATGGTTCTAGTACTCCTTCTAAATGAAGAAAAATCCTCTCTCCTTACTGAATAGTCCATGTTTTTATAAAGCATTTTTAAAATATTTAATCCACAGGAAATATTTTATTAAATAAAAATGTAAATTTCTTATCTAAAGTATTTACCAATTTTCTGAGCTGACACCTCCTGATGTAGGATGCATTTCTTACTTATATATGAGGCCTAAGTAATTACAATCCTACATTAATCACCCGTTCTTACATTAACAGATTAGTTTTCGTCTACCTCTTATAGTTCTAAACTCACCTTTCCTCTTCTTAACCATACGCTTTCGTCTGTGTGCTGAGACAGATCTGAGCACTCAACACGAGCGAGCCTGGACTTCCCTGTCCCCTGCCGCAGCCTCCTGAGTGTGGAAACTGCAGTCGTGTACCACACTTGCCTCACCTCTAATCTATTAGTCTACTAGACTTGACTCGATCATACGAACCTACAGTCTATTCTGTCTTTATGGGACTATGTGTGACACAGGGTCTCCTGTAGCTCAAGCGCTTCCCATCTGTTATGTAGCCAAGGATGATCTTTATTACAGGTATGAGCCACACTGTAATTTGTAGACATACCCTAAGTGAAATCTAACTTCTCACGAGGAACTCCTTCACAGTCCTTCCACCTTGGACACTGCTTCTCTGGGTTTGTGGTACCCATCTCCCTTCCTATTACACGGGCGCTCATATTTCTGTGGCCCTACTTTCACTGAGCACAGTGCCACTCCATAGACGCCGGTCATCTTGGGCGACTTCTTGGAAGTTTTAAATTTATAGTTTAGGTGAAAACACAGAAGACTTCACATTGAAAAAAAAGATAAGGAGAAAAGGCCACATTCTCATTAAGTTTTGCCAAACTTGATTTCTTTAGGATAATAAAATACAAAAAAAAATAAAAAGCCAAACCAGGAAAATAATTACTTTTATGGATATAAGTATCACAAGGAGTGACCTTTATTCTCCTGCTTTAAGATGTATAGAAGGGGATATAGCTCAGTGGTAGAACTATCTAGAAGGAATGAGACTAAGGGATCTAGTCCCATCATAAGGAAAAAGAAGTCCACTGGGGAATATAAGCATTTGTTTTTAATTTAAATTATATCCTTGGAAAAGCAATAAGACTAGTTTAGAAATGATGCCAGCAAGTCAGGCAGTGGCAGTACAAGCCCTTAATCCAAGCACTTGGGAGGCAGAGGCAGGCGGATCTCTGTGAGTTTGAGTCTAGCCTAGTCTACAGAGCTAGTTCCAGGGCAGTCAAGAATGTTACACAGAGAAACCAAGTCAGAGAGAGAGAGGGAGAGACGAGAGAGAGAGAGAGAGAGAGAGAGAGAGAGAGAGAGAGAGAGAGAG